ATCTTTCTCATGTAGTTTTCTCTGTCTTTATGGTACAGGGGGGTGTTTCAACTTCACCCCCATGTTTTAAGATTCTCTCAGTGGTATTTTCTCCATGAATAGTTGTTTGTTGTGTTTGTGAAAGAAAGTGGCTTAGAAATAACTTGTGTTGCCATCTTAATGACATCACTCTCTATAAGGTTTTAATACATGCATTTATTGACAGAAAATTCCCCTTAAGTTTCTTTTCCAGCATCCCATAGGTTTGGGTATGTTGTTTTCCCATTTTAACTTGTTTTGTGATATTCCTTGATTTCACAATTGATTCCTTCCTTTGCCCATTGGTTTTTATGTGTGTGTCATTTAGTTTTCACATATTTGTAAGTTTTCCGGATTTCCTCATATTGTTGATTTCTGTTTCAAACCATAGTGGTCAGAAATAATATTTGTTATGATTTTAATCTTCTTAACTTTAGTAAGACTTGCTTATGGAAAATATTTTGTGTGTGTTTGAGAAGAATGTGTATTGTATTACTGTGTTTGGATTGTCTGGGATTTGTCTACTAAGTTTTTTGTTCTAAAACATTGTGTAAGTGCAATATTTCCATATTGAATTTCTGTCTTGACAATGTTTCCATTGTTGAATGGTTTACTTAAGTCTATTACTATTATTGTATTGTCGTCTATTTCTCCCTTTTTCTCTTAGAATTTACTTACTATATTTGGTTGCTCCAATGTTAGGTGCATATATATTTACCAGCTAAATAGTATTGAATGATTATTTCCTGTATATTGTATGTTGACCTGTTGTGTGCCTTTATTCGGTTTTCTTACTTAGAATCTATTTTGTCTAATATAATTATAGCTTCCCCTATTCTCTTTTGGTTTCCATTTGCATGGAATAACTTTTTCCTTCCATTCACTTTGAACCTACATGTTTTCTTAAAGCTGAAGTGAGTGTTTTGTAGGCAGCATATAGCTCAATCTTTTATCTAATCCATTTAGTGACTCTATGTTTTTTTTATCAAAGAATTTAATACATTCATATTTAAAATAAGTATTTATACTTAAGAACTTACTACTGCTATCTCATTCATTTTTTTCTCCTGATCTTTCTTATTTTGTACTTTCTTCTCTTTCTGTCTTCCTTTGTGAATGATGATTTTACATCTCAGTGTACTTTGGTTCACTTTTGTTGTTGTTGTTGTTGTTGTTGTTGTTGTTATTGATCATTTGTAAGTTTGTACTTTGTGTTTACCTTGAGGCTTATATAAAATATCCTATAGTTATACCAGTCTATGTTAAGGTAATAAAAACTTTTCTATATTTGCATAGAAATACTCTACTGTTTTTTAGTACCATTTTTCATATGTTTTATATATCACAATTTACCTCTTTTTATATTATATATTTATTATTGAATTATAGTAGTTGTATTTATTTTTTTAATTTTCCTTTATTTTTTTAATTTTAAAGTTTTATGTATTTATTTTGTGTGTGTGAGAGAGACAGAGACAGAGACAGAGAGAGCATTAGCAAGGGAGAGGCAGAGAAAGAGTGAGAGAGAGAATCCCAAGCAGGCTCCATGCTATCAGCACAGAGCCCGATATGGGGCTCAAACTCACCAATGGTGAAATCGTGACCTGAGTTGAAATTGAGAATTGGACACCTAACTGACTGAGACACCCAGGCACTATTCCTCTGACTTTTACACTAGAATTAATTGATAATACACTATCATACTACAATATTAGTGTACTTTAACCTTGAATATATGATTATCTTTAGAACTTTTATACTTCCAGATGTTTTCAAGTTTCTTATTAGTGTTCTTTTATTTAAACTTAAAGATGTCCTTTCAGCTTTTCTTATAAGGAAGGGGTAGTGGTAATAAGCCCCTGAACATTTTTTTTTTGTCTTGTTAGGTCTTTATCATGGTCATTTTTGAAAGATACATTTGGTGGGTACAGTTTTCTTGGTTAGCAGTTTTTTTTTTTTCCTTTTAGCACTTTGGATATTTTATAACTTTATCTGGCCTGCAAATTTTCTGCTGAAATATTCACTGACAGTTTTATGAGGATTTCTTGTAAATGTATTTTTCCCTTCAAGCTTTAAAATTTCCTCTGTTCAATTTTAACAGTTTTATTTTAAATTGATTAATATTGGGGCGCCTGGGTGGCTCAGTCAGTTAAGCGGCCGACTTCAGCTCAGGTCATGATCTTACGGTCCATGAGTTCGAGCCCCGCGTCAGGCTCTGGGCTGATGGCTCAGAGCCTGGAGCCTGTTTCGGATTCTGTGTCTCCCTCTCTCTGACCCTCTCCCATTCATGCTCTGTCTCTCTCTGTTTCAAAAATAAATAAACTTAAAAAAATAAAATAAAATAAATTGATTAATATTTTATTATTTAAGTTACTGAATAAACGTTTGGAGGTTCATAATAATCATGAACTTAGATGAAGTTTCCTGCCCCTCTATCTTTATTTTCATTATGGGATCACCAAAAATGTATACATTGTTTTGTTGTTTTTTTCACGATTTCTCATAACTCACATAGGATGTCTTCATTTTTTGTCATTCTTTTTGTTTTATTTTTTTTTCTGTTCTCACTGGATAATTTCAAATTATTTTTGGCTCACAAGTTCTTTCTCTGTTAGATCAGGTCTGATATTAGTGTTTTCTATTGAACTTGTAATTTCTTTTTTTTTATTCTAACTTGTATTTCTTTATTTTTTTTTAACTGACATCCAAATTAGTTAGCATATAGTGCAACAATGATTTCAGGAGTAGATTCGTTAGTGCCCCTTACCCATTTAGCCCATTCCCCCTTCCACAACCCTCCCATAACCCTCAGTTTGTTCTCCATATTTATGAGTCTCTTTGTTTTGTCCCTCTCCCTGTTTTTAAATTATTTTTGTTTCCCTTTTCTTATGTTCATCTGTTTTGTCTCTTAAAGTCCTCATATGAGTGAATTCATATGATATTTATCTTTCTCTGACTAATTTCACTTCACATAATGCCCTCCAGTTCCATCCTGGTAGTTGCAAATGGCAAGATTTCATTCTTTTTGATTGCCGAGGAATATATATATATATACCACATCTTTATCCATTCATCCATCGATGGACATTTGGGCTCTTTCCATACTTTGGCTATTGTTGATAGCACTGCTATAAACCTGGGGCTGAATGTGTCCCTTCAAAATAGTACACCTAGGGGCGCCTGGGTGGCGCAGTCGGTTAAGCGGCCGACTTCAGCCAGGTCACGATCTCGCAGTCCGTGAGTTCGAGCCCCGCGTCGGGGTCTGGGCTGATGGCTCAGAGCCTGGAGCCTTGTTTCAGATTCTGTGTCTCCCTCTATCTCTGCCCCTCCCCCGTTCATGCTCTGTCTCTCTCTGTCCCAAAAATAAATAAACGTTGAAAAAAAATTAAAAAAAAAAAAAGAAAAAACAAAATAGCACACCTGTATCCCTTAGATAAATATCAAGTAGTGCAATTGCTGGGTCGTAGGGTAGTTCTATTTGTAGTTTTTGAGGAACCTCCATACTGTTTTCCAGAGTGGCTGCACCAGCTTGTATTCCCACCAACAATGTAAAAGAGATTCTCTTTCTCCGCATCCGTGCCAACATCTGTTGTTGCCTGAGTTGTTAATGTTAGCCATTCTGACAGGTGTGAGGTGGTATCTCATTATGGTTTTGATTTGTATTTCCCTGATGATGAGTGACGTTGAGCATTTTTTCATATGTCAGTTGGCCATCTGGATGTCTTTGTAGAAGTGTTTCTTCATGTCTTTTGCCCATTCCTTCACTGGATTATTTGTTTTTTGGGTGTTGAGTTTGATAAGTTTTTTATAGATTTTCGATACTAACCCTTTTATCTAATATGTCATTTGCAAATATCTTCTCCCATTCTGTTGGTTGCCTTTTAGTTTTGCTGATTGTTTCCTTCACTGCACATAAGCCTTTTATTTTGATGAGATCCCAGTAGTTCATTTTTGCTTTTGGTTCCCTTTCCTCCAGAGACGTGTTGAGTAAGAAGGTGCTGCAGCCAAGATCAAAGGTTTTTTCCTGCTTCTCCTTGAGGATTTTGATGGCTTCCTGTCTTACATTGAGGTCTTTCATCCATTTTGAGTTTATTTTTGTGTATGGTGTAAGAAAGTGGTCCAGGTTCATTCTTCTGCATGCTGCTGTCCAGTTTTCCCAGCACCACTTTCAGAAGAGACTGTCTTTATTCCATTAGATATTCTTTCCTGCTTTGTCAAAGATTAGTTGCCCATACATTTGTGGGTCCATTTCTGGGTTCTCTATTCTGTTCCATTGATATGAGTGCCTGTTCTTGTGCCAGTACCATAATGTCTTGATGAACACAGCATCCTTTATTGATAAAAACCCTCAAGAAAGTATGGATAGAAGGAGCATACTTTGAGATCATAAAAACCACATATGAACAACCCAACGCTAATATCATCCTCAATGGGGAAAAACTGAGAGCTAATATCATCCTCAATGGGGAAAAACTGAGTGGACAGGGATGTCCACTCTCACCACTGTTATTCAACATAGTATTGGAAGTCTTACCCTCTGCAATCAGACAATACAAAGAAGTAAAAGGCATCCAAATCGGCCATGAGGAGGTCAAACTTTCACTCTTCTCAGATGACATGATACTCTATATGGAAAACCCAAATGATTCCACCAAAAAACTGCTAGAATTGATTCATGAATTCAGCAAAGTTGCAGGATATAAAATCAATGCACAGAAATCGGTTGCAATCTTGTACACCAACAATGAAGCAACAGAAAGAGAAATCAAGGAATCAATCCCATTTACAGTTGCACCAAAAACCATAAAATACCTAGGAATAAATCTAACCAAAGAGGTGAAAAATCTATATGCTGAAAACTATAGAAAGCTTATGACAGAAATTGAATAAGACACAAAAAAAGGAAAAAGATTTCATGCTCCTGGGTAGGAAGAACAAATATTGTTAAAATGTCGATACTAGGCCTCTTAGCGTCACCGGCAATGAATGCGCGGAGGACTGGGTTCGAACCTGCAATAAACGACCCTTGCCGCTTGGCTTTGACTCTGGACTCTGGTGGTTTGTTTTCGGGGGGTCTCTCGAATCAGGGCATATCATTTGGGGGCTCGTCCGGGATCACCCCAAGCCCACCAGACCCCAAGTCAACGGGTCGTCCCTGAGACCGATCAGATACAGATGGGCCAATCTCAAAGCACTCCCCTTTCTCTCCTCATTGCTAACTTCAGGGATGTTAGAACCAGAGGACAGAATTTGAGTCTAGACATCCAGAGGGGAAAATTAATAACCCTCTGCCATTCCGAATGGCCAACCTTCGGCATTGGATGGCCAACCGAAGGAACTTTTTGCTTCCCTATAATCGCTAAGCCCACCTGGGACGACTGTCAGCAGCTCCTCCACATCCTGTTCACTACAGAGGAGCGAGAGAGGATACAATTAGAAGCAAGAAAGCTGGTTCCCGGAGACAACAGTCAGCCGACATCTAACCCTGACCTCATTAATGCGACTTTCCCCCTAACCAGACCTCCACAGGACGAATGGGACTACAACACGGCAGAAGGTAGGGGAAGGCTACTCATTTATCACCAGACTCTGATGGTGGGTCTCTGGGCTGCAGCTCGCAAGCCCACCAATTTGGCTAAGGTATATTCGGTCATACAGGGAAAGGCAAAGAGTCCAGCTGCTTACTTAGAGAGATTAATGGAAGCCTTTAGACAGTTTACCCCCATGAATCCAGAAGTCCCTGAGAACCAGGCTGCTGTTGTTATGTCCTTTGTAAACCAAGCAGCTCCTGACATTAAAATAAAACTCCAAAGTCTAGAGGATTTAGAAGGTAAACAGATCCAGGATCTGCTCCATATAGCGCAACGGGTCTACATCAACAGGGACGCCCCAGAAGAGAGACAGATCAAGGCCACAGAGAAATGACTAAAGTCCTGGCCGCTATAGTCCAGAAAGAACAGCCACCCCCAGAAGGCACTCAAACAACACGCCCTCCCAGGCGGTACTTAGATAAAGATCAATGCGCCTATTGTAAAGAAAAAGGCCATTGGATACAAGAATGCCCCAAGAAGAAACAACCCCGCCCCAGCCAAGGACAATGGCAGCCTAAAATAGCCCCCATACTGTTTACCCAAGATACAGAATAGGGAGGACGGGGTTCAGATCCCCTCCCCGAACCTAGGGTAACATTGCAAGTGTAGGGGACCCCGGTCCAGTTCCTACTTGATACCGGGGCACAGCACTCAGTTCTGGTCAAGCCCCATAGAAAAGTATCTGAAAAATCATCCTGGGTACAAGGGGCCACTGGAATAAAGACGTACCCCTGGACAACTCAGAGGACTGTGGACCTAAGAACTGGGAAGGTAACCCGCTCCTTCCTGGTCATTCCCGACAGCCCCTGCCCCCTGTTGGGGAGGGATTTGCTTACCAAAATGGGGGCCCAAACTCATTTCCAACCAGGGGGATCGCCAGCGGGGAGCGGGGGCGGGGCCGCAGCTCGCGCAGCAGCGGGCGCCGCCATGGCGTCCCGTGGGCAGCTGCTGGGGCACGCATCCCCGGGGCGCAGACCCGCGCACCACTCGGCCTTGGCGGGAGCCGCCCTGACAGGGCAAAGGGGTCTGGGAGGACTTGCAGGACCAACCATTATCAGATACGGATGCCATCTGGTTCACTGATGGAAGCAGCTTCGTTCACCAGGGACAAAGGTATGCGGGGGCGGCCGTAACTTCAGAAACCGAGGTGGTTTGGGCAGAAGCCCTACCCCCCCGGAACCTCGGCCCAGAAGGCTGAATTAATAGCCTTAACCCAAGCCCTAAAATTAGGAAAAGACCGAAAGCTAACCATGTACACTGATAGCCAATATGCCTTTGCCACCGCTCATGTACATGGGGTGATATACAGAGAACAGGGGCTCCTCACAGCTGAAGGGAAAGACATCAAAAATAAAGAAGAGATTCTAGCCCTGCTAGCAGCCTTATGGGAACCCAAAAAGCTAGCGATTGTGCATTGCCCAGGACAGCAGAAGACAACCGACCCAGTTTCCCAGGGCAACAATTTGGCCAATCAGACTGCAAAAAAAAACATAGCTGGCCCCCAGCACAATTGCTGACCCTACAGCTGCCAGACCCCGGACCCCGGGAATTGCCCCCCCCAGCCCTGAGTATTCAGAAAGCGACATTCAATGGATGAGTAAACTTCCTATGACCCGGATCAAAGATGGCTGGTGGAGAGACTCCAAAAGCAGCATTATACTCCCAGATAAACAAGGATGGCAAGTTCTAGAGTGGATCCATCGCAGCACCCACTTAGGTTCCCAGCGAATGTTGGACTTACTGAGACAGACTGGACTAAAAATCAGAAATGTCTCTGATAAGGTCGATCAAGTAGTCACTAAATGTACAGTGTGCCAACTCAACAATGCGAGTAGCAATCCTCAGACAACAGGGGTAAGACAAAGAGGGAGCAGACCGGGGACCTATTGGGAAGTAGATTTCACTGAGGTAAAACCAGGAAAATATGGATATAAGTATTTGCTAATTTTTGTAGATACTTTTTCAGGATGGACTGAAGCCTTTCCAACCAAGAATGAAACGGCGCAGATTGTAGCCAAAAAGATCCTAGAAGAAATCCTGCCCAGGTATGGTTTTCCAGTAATGATAGGGTCAGACAATGGACCTGCATTCATCTCTAAGGTAAGTCAGGGACTGGCTTCCATACTTGGGGCTGATTGGAAATTACATTGTGCATTCCGACCCCAAAGCTCAGGACAGGTAGAGAGAATGAACAGAACATTAAAAGAGACCCTAACCAAATTGACCATGGAGACTGGCGCTAATTGGGTAGTCCTTCTCCCCTACACTCTGTTCAGGGTGCATAACTCCCCATACAAACTGGGACTCACACCCTATGAAATAATGCATGGTAAACCACCCCCCATCATCCCTAACCTAAAAGATGACCTTGTCAAAACTGAGAACGATAATGGTCTTGAACTCTTGCTCTCCCTACAAGCCTTGCAGAGGGTCCATGAAGATGTATGGCCCAAGTTAAAAGAACTTTATGACACTGGACCCCCGCCTATTCCTCATCAATTCTGACCTGGGGATTGGGTCCTCATCAAACGTCATTGGCAGGAGACTCTGGAACCCAGGTGGAAAGGACCCTTCCAGGTCATCCTGACAATGCCTACGGCCATCAAAGTAGACGGAATCACCTCCTGGATCCATTACACCCACGCCAAACCAGTGGACCCGTTCTCAGACCTCATCAGACCTTCAAAGACAACCTGGACTGTTGATCGGACTAAGGACAATCCCTTAAAATTGACCCTACGCCGCCAATGGACTGAGCCGTAACTATGGTACTTGCCCTCCTCTTGATTGTTCTGCAAATTCTGTCTGTAAATCCAAACCCCCACACCCCCTATAATTTGACATGGGAAATTACTAACTTAGAGACTCATGAAATCTACAACAAAACCCTAGGAACTGCCCCATTAAATACCTGGTGGCCAGATTTATATTTTAATTTAGAAAAAGTTAGTCCATTAGAAGAAATGGAAGGAGGTAAATGGAGGCAACTGCAAAGGAGGGTATCAATAAGTAGAAATGGATTTTATGAATGTCCAGAATTTAGGATGGGGGCGATGAGGCACACATGTGGAGGGTTTGAAACTCTATTGTGCAGCCTGGAGTTGCATCACCTCCAATGATGGGGAATGGAAGTGGGAAGTAAAACCCCAATTTATTGAAAAAAAAAAAAAAATAAAATGTCGATACTACCCAAAGCAATCTACATGTTCAATGCAATCCCTATCAAAACAACATGAGCATTCTTCACAGAGATAAAACAAATAATCCTAAAATTTATATGGAACCAGAAAAGACCCTGAATAGCCAAAGTGATGTTCAAAAAGAAAACCAAAGCAGAAGGCATCACAATCCCAGACTTGAATTTTTAATTGCATTTACTGTATTCTTCAGAGCCACAATTTCTCTTTGGCTCTTTTCTATGACTTCTATCTTTGAAAAGCTCACTTTGTGTATTGTTTTCTTGATTTTATTGAATGATCTTTCTGTGCTTCCCTTAACTCACTTTTATAAAAATTATTTTGAATTATTTATTGGGTAAATTAGAGATATCCATTTTTATGAAGTTGTACTGGGAAACTATTATGTTCTTATTGTAGTGTGATGATTCTATGAATCTTTATGTTCCTTGATGTCTACAAGGGTCTTCACATTTGCAGTACTAGATAATTTTAGTCTTCACTGCTTTGCCACTTCAATAAGTATAATGTTGGATTTAATTTCTTTTTTATAATTTTTCTAATATTTATTTATTATTGAGACAGAGAGAGACAGCGCATGAGCATGGGAGAGGCAGAGAGAGGAGACACAGAATCTGAAGCAGGCTCCAGGCTCTGAGCTGTCAGCACAGAGCCCGACGCGGGGCTAGAACTCAAAAACTGCAAGATCATGACCTGAGCCAACGTCAGATGCTTAACTGACTCAGCCACTCAGGTGTCCCAATGTTGTATTTAATTTCTTAAAAGGTGTACTAACATTTCCTAAGGCTAATTCCCCACATTAGTAAACATTTGTGTTTTTATTCTGTGATGATTTATCAATCATGTGTCTTCTAATTTTTGTACTTTTCTATTGTATGAAATTTAAATGTAATTTAATTAAAAATTATACATATGGTCTGTATACTTTGCCCTCACTTAAAACATATGCTCACAGATTTTCCCCCCAGTAATGTTAACAAATTAGTATATTAAATAATTTGTGTTAACTATATTTTCCTATTTATTAAAAATGCATTATATTAACTTGGGAAATATAATTATAAATTATAATTTAAAATTAACTTTAAATTTAACAACTGTATACTTGCACATACCAAGTACTGTTCTAGATTATGTGTTAAATATTAAGGGAAAATTCTCCAAATTCCATATCATATTTAAATGTATTATATGGTTTTAATTGATTTGCCGTAAGTCCTACCAAGTATTTACAGAAGTAATTAACCCCATGTGAGATAGAGAAACTGATGTTCAGAGCAAATTATTCCCTCTTCACAGCAAGAGACAGATGGGAGCCTTAGAACCATGTCTTCTGATGTTTTCCTTGTGTTTTGGTGTCAAACCTTGCCATTAGTTGGTAAGCAATTTCCAAAGAAGAGGAGCATGCTGCACAATGAGCAGCTCCCAGCTCATTAATCCTAATGATAAACTGGGGGAAAATTCCTCTGAGAGTGATATGTTGTTAAAACCCATGTTCATTTTCTGTTAGATACCAGGTAGTCTGTCTACCAAGGACCTGATGATGCATGTTGAAGGGCAGTCATGCCCTCCTTGATATCTTTCTACAGGTGAGGGATATGGACATGAAATTAATTGAACTCTTGCTTCCACATACTTATTTTATTTACACAAAAAATAAAATACATATTTATATAATGTAAACATTGAAATAATGGGTGGTATAAAGTTTAACTTTTCAATGCCTTATTAAATACCCAGGAAGATTTGAGACATAAAGGAGTGAGAAAAAAAAATAGAAGTTATTTAGTGTGGAGAAATGAATGCAGGCCTCTTCTGTGGTACATCCTTACAAGTTAGACTTCTCAGTTTGGACAAAGTCCTGCCAGTAGGTCTGATAACAGTATGAAAACAAAACGTTTAAAACTTCAGATACGGACTGTGTAAAGAAGTTATTTTCACAAGGCAGAAGAATTGCAATGTATAATTTCATGGCATTGAGATATTATTTAACTAAAACAAAAGGCCTCTTCATAACAGTTAGTGAAGTATTATATATGTGTGTGTATATACACACATTGCTTTTTCTTTTCATTTTGTATTGTGTTGAATATAGATTATATTAAACTTGCATACTTACCATGATTTTGCCAAATATTTATCAAATATGTCAGTGATTTCTCTTTTAAAATTACAAGGCTTAAATTTTAAGAAAATATTTAAAGCTTCTCTTCTACTATATCACCTTGGTTTGCACAATTAGTTAAGAATATAAAGGTGATAAATCCATACCTATAGTATCAACACTTGATTATTCCATGTTGCTTTATTTCATTTTCTTTGATTAGATTTTTAAGCTTGTTTTATTACACTAGACTTTATCCATCACATAAGCAAGAGCAGGGATCTCATTTTGACCCATGATATATCCCAAGCTCCCAAAATTTTCCATGATATAGAAAATGTGCTAAAAATATTTGAATAAATGAACACTATTGTATTTCAGAATGACTAGTACTAGGGAATACTTGGGTTTTAATTTTTTTTTTAATTTTCCCTTTCTCCTGAGAATCACAGTCTTGAAGATGTGCAAAGAATTAGATGTGTTTTAGTAGTTTACATATGTTTACATGTCAAGGGTAAAGGTGGAAGCAAAGGAATTATACCTAAATTGTTTCCAACTTCACCAATTCTGACGTTATTTGTATTTAATATTTTAATTGTAGTTCCTGCAAAGAAAGTATAATTGGCTTTTTCTAGATTTGTCATAGATACCATTTTCCTTTTGAGCAAACAGGAGTTAAGTGTCATAGGTAGGCATTTGCTCAGTTGTGGAGACTAAAGATGCTTCCATTTAATGGAAACTTAGATGTTAAAATGAGGTTTAGGATTACATATTTCAGTTGATAGCAAAAGTGATCTTCTCCTGAATTTCTAGCATTTAACTGCAATGAGTATTAATTTTAATAAGTATCTAATAAACACAGAAAGATAAAATCAGGAAACATGTGTAAATATAGTTAAATTCAGACCTTAGTTTTTCAAGACTGATGAAGCAGCAGTAGAGACAGCTGCTTCCTTGCCTCTCTAGATAACGTATGGGGGAATCTTCTTTCATGAGATAAAGGCTGATTAAATTTAACTGAACTCAGAGCTGCCTGAACACAATGGTCTTTTCTAATTTGAAAGATTGTAAAAGTCTTTGAGATTTTTAAGAACAACATTACAGCATATGCTGTGCATTTAATACATGGCTTGAATATTAAGATAGATACTTGTCCAATACTATTATTTATTTAAAATAAAGGTTCTTACAATCTTAAAATTATCATCTAAAATTTACATGATTTATAATAATTTTTACTATCATATCTGCCTTAAATATAGGGAAAATTAGGGTAAAGAGATTTAAGTGACTAAAACAAGGCTAGCTACTGGAAATCTTAAAATTCAGAAATTAATATTGTTTTCTTACTCTGAGGCCTGTTTTATTTTTTCACCGTTACCAAAATGGAGAGTTATTTGCTTTCAGTAAGAGAAGATCCTACAATTTATAGTCAATACTTTGATAATATTATTACGTTTCCAGCACTGTTACAAGAGTCTTACACAGACTCCAGAATAATTCTCAGGACAAGGGCTGCTCTGACGCTCAGCTGGCCAATGAGGAACTTGAGGAGTGACTTCCCTGGGGTCACATAGCTATTAAGTGGCGGATGCTGGTCTTTTGCCCAGGCCATTTGAGGTACAGATTCTGTGTAAGGATCAGATTAAACTACATCAGGAGTAATGGGTAAAGTGGCATCTTAGAGTTTGAAGTCATCATAAAAACCTGGGAAACTTAAACTAGCAAATTTGAATTGTTTACACCAATGCTAAGTCTAGATTATTTCTGGACATTCTTTTGTATGTATTTGTCCTCTCTTTGTTAATTTTTTAAATTTTCTTTAAAAAATTTTTTTTCTTCTTTTTTTCAACGTTTTATTCATTTTTGGGACAGAAAGAGACAGAGCATGAACGGGGGAGGGGCAGAGATAGAGGGAGACACAGAATCGGAAACAGGCTCCAGGCTCTGAGCCATCAGCCCAGAGCCTGACGCGGGGCTCGAACTCCCGGACCGCAAGATAGTGACCTGGCTGAAGTCGGACGCTTAACCGACTGCGCCACCCAGGCGCCCCAATTTTTTAAATTTTCTAATACACTATGTATTTAAACGTTATATTTTCTGAGTTTTTTGATATGTGCATGTTAGTGAGTCACTCTGAATGTAGCCTACAAAAACTAACATACACATTTTTTTAATGTTTTTTTTTTAACGTTTATTTATTTTTGAGACAGAGAGACAGAGCATGAACGGGGAGGGTCAGAGAGAGAGGGAGACACAGAATCTGAAACAGGCTCCAGGCTCTGAGCTGTCAGCACAGAGCCCGATGCGGGCCTCGAACTCACGGACCGCGAGATCATGACCTGAGCCAAAGTCGGACTCTCAAC